CATGTATTAGATCAGCTAAAAATGTGAGCTTCTGAAAATATTGGGGATGTACCAGCCATGTGAGCTCTGGAAATGAATTGTGGCCCACCTATTTCATTGCGACAGTGAAATGTAGAATCCACGATAGAAGTAGATGGTTTTACGAATTCTGCAACTGATTATGAGGCCTACAAATGGGACCCGAAAATCTAGCAGTGTTCAGTGCTGCTTTCAGTGTTCCAGTTAGGCATTCATACTTTCTTTCAGTAAATTGTTCCCCTGCCCCTTGTCCCATCCAAGTCACCATTTATGATCACCAAGCATGCCCAGTTCTCACTTAGCTGTTTCTGCAGTCTCTTCTCCTTTTATCTATCCCCCTTTTTGTGCTTTGGCAACCTTGATGTTCCCCAAGCCTGTTGGTATTTTACTCCATAGATGGTTCTGTTTTGGCTGCATAAGCAACAAGACTCACCTGTGAATGCCAAAAGTAGATGGAATGGTGTAACTTTAGGAACTGGTGCCTATGTTCGTTGTTTTCCTCTTCCCTGAGGTGCATGGGGTGTTAGGGGAGGGGCAGTACCTCTGGGACGCAGGTGGTGCTGAGGTCTAAACTACTGAGCCTCTTGGGCTTGCCAATCGGAAGGCCAGCAGTTCGAATCTGCATGACGGGGTGAGCTTCCATTGCTCTGTCCCAACTTCTGCCCACCTAGCAGTTTGAAAGCACACCAGTGCAAGTAGATAAATAGGTATCACTGTGGCAGGAAGGTAAATGACATTCCTGTGTGCTCTGGCTTCGTCACAGTGTTCCGTTGTGCCAGAAGTGATTCAGTCATACTGGGCCACATGACCCAGAAAGATGTCTATGGACAAATGCCAGCTCCCTTGGCCTGAAGTGAGATGAGTGCCGCACCCCAGTCGCCTTTGACTGGACTTAACTGTCCAGGGATCCTTTACCTTTTAAACCTTCAGTACCTCTGGGGCAGTTTCTCCCCCTTTGGTCCTCACCCTGAACACATCTCTCACCTGTGGCGCCTAGTAACAACAGCGGCCACACCCCAGGAACAGCTTTGACTGGCTGGCTAAATCAGGTGAGGGTAGTGGATGGGTCTCAGACCCTTTGCAAGTTAAGGACTTCTTCTGCATGGAAAGATAGGCTCTGGCGGATTGAGCAGACGTGACCAAAAGTGGGTTCTGTGGTCAAGAAGGTGATTTCAGCACATGCTGTAGAAGGAAGTGAGGAACAGGTGAGGTTCTTTACCCTGGGAAGGACCTCCATACATGCTGCCTGGGCTTGTACCCTAAGGAGGTCACTTCGGTGCTGCTAACAAAGCGGTTTGACTTCACCCCTGGAAGCACACTCCTGTCTCATGAGACAGATGCCAACAAATGTCCTCTTCAAACCCATTTTTCCTTTTGTATACCTTCTTTAGGATTCTACATATGTGGGCTGGAATATATGCATTTTTAGTCTGTGTACAGTGCTTAATAGGGACGTGGGTGGTGCTGTGGGTTAAACCAGAGCCTAGGACTTGCCGATCAGAAGGTTGGCAGTTCGAATCCCCACGACGGGGTGAGCTCCCATTGCTCGGTCCCTGCTCCTGCCAACCTAGCAGTTCCAAAGCATGTCAAAGTGCAAGTAGATAAATAGGTACCGCTCCGGCAGGAAGGTAAACAGGGTTTCCGTGCGCTGCTCTGGTTCGCCAGAAGCGGCTTAGTCATGCTGGCCACGTGACCCGGAAGCTGTACACCGGCTCCCTCGGCCAATAAAGCGAGATGAGCACCACAACCCCAGTCGGTCATGACTGGACCTAATGGTCAGGGGTCCCTTTACCTTTACAGTGCTTAATATGTTTTAGGCACTTTATAAGTGATAAAAAAACCAGGCCTAACAACTGCTACATCACAGTTATAGGATCACAACTCATTTTGACGGTGAAGCGGCAGCAAAGTGTAGGGCCTAACATGCATACCCAGTGAGTTTTTGCTTGGGTGTGCATATGGAAGATCTTGCAATTGGGCACTTTTAGTTTCAAAAATGCTGCTGTGGAGTATGAAGAAACATTTGTGCTGTATTCAATGTTTTATATAGCACTGCCTCCACCTCTACTGGGTAAGTGGTTGTCAACCATTTGTCTTCATAGGACAATAGCTTTGCAGCATTATTTCTGGGTAGTTTGGATTGCATCCATGCTGGTGAATGTAAGGGCAAAGTGTCCTCTTCACGCTCTGCTGCAAAGCCTGGGCAGGCCTAGGGAGGCTATTACGTCTTGACAGTATTGATACAGAAGGGCAATCAAGAATTAGCTTCCTTGATTGTAGGGGTTTGCTGGACATTGTGTAGTCAGTACCTCTACTGCCTGATGGGCCCTCTCTCAATTTGTTTCATCAGCTTTCATGCACGCTGAGTAAAGTGGGCTGTAGAGGCAACAGGTTTATATATGGCAACTGGCACACACATCAATGATGATATGGGGTTATGGTAGTTTTCAAAAAGAGCGTGGTGTCCCCTGGTGCTTGGGGGCTTCAGCTGCACAACAGAGTTGTTAACAGAACAGCATCCTTACGATTCTCATGAAGCCTGGCAAATAACCAGAAGGCAACTTTACATAGTACAGTATCAACTTGCCTAGAGCAATGGGAGATTAAAACTCATCTTTAAAGAAAGTTAAATAAAAACCCTTTTTGTTCACTCCAGGGAATATTTAATTGCCTTTGATTTCTAGTCAGACCCCATATTCATTGAACCAATCTTGTCTTGACAGTTATCGCTCAGGCTTTTTAAACTGTCTGCTTAGCAGGGCCCAACTGCTTCTTGATCTTTGTACGATTAGAATGGGGAGAGAATGAGTCTGAAATAACCTGAGTACAGTGGTACCTCGGGTTACATACGCTTCATGTTACATACGCTTCAGGTTGCACACTCTGCTAACCCAGAAATAGTGCTTCAGGATAAGAACAGAAATCGGGCTCTGGCGGCGCGGTGGCAGCAGGAGGCCCCATTAGCTAAAGTGATGCTTCAGGTTAAGAACAGACCTCCGGAACGAATTAAGTACTTAACCCGAGGTACCACTGTAATGCTACTGCCACCTACATGGATGACTCTTCTACATCTAATGCAACTGCTGTATGCATAAAAGTTGAAGACCACTGTAGTAGGTTATATGTTCTTGAGAAGGTAAAAAAGGTAAAGGACCCCTGACACATAAGTCCAGTCGCGAACGACTCTGGGGTTGCGGCACTCAATCTCGCTTTACTGGCCAAGGGAGCTGATGTTTGTCCGCAGACAGTTTTTCCAGATCATGTGGCCAGCATGACTAAGCTGCTTCTGGCGAACCAGAGCAGCGCACAGAAATGCAGTTACCACTTCCCGCTGGAGTGGTACCTATTTATCTACTTGCACTTTTGGGCGTGCTTTTGAACTGCTAGGTTGGCAGGAGCTGGGACCGAGCAACAGGAGCTCACCCGTCACGGGGATTCGAACCACCGACCTTCCGATCGGCAAGCCCTAGGCTCAGTGGTTTAGGCAACAGCACCACCCGAGTCCTTGAGCTCTTGAGAAAGCTGTGCCAAATCATATAAGCAGAAAAGCAAATAATACTTGAGAGCTGGTGATTCTGTGTACAGTCAAACCTCAGTTCCCGAGTGCCTCCGTTATCGTACATTTTGGCTCCTAAATGTCGAAAACCTGGAAGTAAATGCTCGAGTTTTTGAACATTTTTTGGAAGCCAAACGTCCAACGTGGCTTCCGCTTGAGTGCAGGAAGCTATCGCAACCAATCGGAAGCCACACCTAGATTGTCGAACATTTCGAAAGCCGAACAGGCTTCCAGAACGGATTACGTTCGACAAGCGAGGTTTGACTTTTATTCAGTCAGTCAGAAGATCAGGCCTGTTTTAAAATTGGCCAGCTTTACCACACAATAAACATGTTAACTGCTGACCACAAACCAACTAGAACTCCTGTGATGTAACCTTTTGTGGACCAGAACCAACTCCCACATCTACAATGTATATCCTCAGTTGCATATTCCCCGACAGACATAACAGGCGAAGTGCACTGACACTTAAAGAACCTGTAATGTGAGAGGTTCTAGTTCACATAAATCTTATGCCACAGTAAGTCTTGTCTTAAGGTGTCACATAGCTTTTAAATTACATCTCTGGATACTGCAATTAGGTATGCATCTAGTTCCCCCCGCCCCAATGGAGAAGAGTTGGGCTGCTGGTTTAAAGTGTAAAGCTCATTCCCTATTTTTACAGATTCTTTAAACCCAGAATGTCATTCATCTACCATGTAAAAAGAAAAGAAAAAGAGGGATGCCTATATAGCTAATGTTCTTACTAAGTATAACAAACAGATCACTTTATGAGATGACACTTAACCACCATGCCTTTAACATGGGCTGCATCCAAGATTTTAATTGCATAGCATTTATCGGGAGAGAAAAGTACTATGCGTTGAAAGCTAACTCACCTGGTAGTGAAACTGTCTTGTTTAGTTTTAAAAATAGGGCTTTGCAGTAAATTCAAAGGCCAGCAGGCAAGTTATTTAAATGCCTGGTTCAGAGTTAAGAGTTTAACATTTCTCATGTTTAATTGTGTGCAACTCTCAAGCTCTCAGGAGCACATATTTGTTGTCACCCAGCAACTGGGCACTGAGAATGTCTAAAGTAGTTTCCTCAATTCTAAAAATTGATTTCAGAGGATAAGATGGGTGAGAAATGGAGATGAACCTATTTTACTGGGGCTTTTATTTTGTGTAATAAAGCTATACATTTGATAGCACTGAAATAAGAGCTCCCACATAAACAGGAGGATTCAAAATGAAGCACCTGTGAAATACACAATACACTATTACATGTTAAGTGTATGTGAACTATTAATGCAGCTTTTAAAAACTGATGAGCTTGAAGTCGTCCCCCCAACATACCCTTAGATACAGCACAAGAACTGTTTAGTCAGCTTTGCTCCAAGGGGAATAATTGCACATTAATGGACATGGAATGCAAACAATTTAGGGACTGTTTTGAAAACTGTTTTAACAACTGAATTTCCAGATCACCTTTATATCATAAAATACACGTTCCTTATCACAAGTTTCCAGCACTTACATCTGCTAATATGAAAAGCTTAACCTACTTACAGAAATAACAAGTTACAATGTGGATTTTTATTCATACTTCATATTACAGAAAGTATTTGAGAAAGGTTTGGGGTACAGAATTTTGGATACTGCTCTGAATTTGGTAAAGGTTTTATTCTTTCTCCGACTCAAACTTTGGCTAAGTAGGAGATATGGGCTTCAAAGTAAGTTAAAAAAAAACTTTATTATGCCACCATTTCAAAGCATATTACACAGGTTTTGTTCTTCAAAATACCTTGGAAACTGTAAAAAAACAAAAACAAAAACTGAATGAAGAACTTTGGACAATAGAAACCCTTCTGCAAAGCTCAGACTAAAACACATGCAGAAGACATACTGTTCTCAAAACATAACTTTGAACAAAGCACAAACTACACAAATATGCAGAATGAAACAGCATTTTAAAACTTCACCAAAAGTAGTCTCCATAAAAGGTGTAAAAGTCACCTATTCACTAGGCACTATTAGACTTGAACAAAAGTAACAAAATATTGTCCACAAGATTGCAATCTCAATGCACTGTCTGTAGCTACAAAGTTCTTTGTTTCACACTTCAATAGCGACCTGCAAGTAAAGAGATTGAGAGCTCCATTAGAAACCTGGGTGGGTTCCATTTCTGTATACTAAGTCTACATACACTGTTAATTCAAAAGCTGGACGCTTGGGGGCAGCAGGAAAAAAAACAGTTCAATGATCACGAGTATTTCCCCATGTAAATTAAATGGCTTGGATCCAGACTTGCTCTTCGGGGAGTGGCAAGGTTCTTTCTGTTCAGGGAAGGGTGTCTGATACGGTGGTTCCTATTGGTGGGAGATGAGGCGATTTCTACCAATTCCCACACGTCATCCATGCCACCTTCCGTTTTGTTCAGGAAAGTTCAATCCTCCAAGGCTATGGGGGTTTTTTTTGGGGGGGGGGAGGGGCTTCAGGAGGAATTGACAAGTGTTGCCTCCTCCCTTATGTAGCTAAAGCACTCTGTTTGCAGAATACTACTCAAAGAATCCAAGCTTACATATTTTTTATTTTTAATGGAAGTATTAGTTAAGTTTAGAAAAACTTAACTGCACAATATTAATATATTTAACTTGTAACTTACGAGGTGAATAGGATCGAGACCGGGAGCGAGATCTGTAGCCCCCCCTGCTGTAATAGGGAGATGGAGATCTTCGCCTGCAGAGAATATAGCAATGATGATGGTTTAAGTTTACTTACACTACAGGTGTTCATACACAACTTGTTCTAGTTTTGTCACCCGTACCCTTTGTATTTCATGCACACTAAGTATACCAACTAGATACCAGAACATGGACTTTACTGTGTTATACATTTGTTTAGTCCAACACTTACACAAGAAAAAACTGCATTAGAAAAGTTAGAAACTAGTATATTCCGGTGCTCCCTTTCTAGTAAGAAATCTGCTTGTTCTTATGTCAAATATTAAAGCCATTGCAAATGCAGTTGGGATATTCAGATCATCCTTAATTAGCATGCCAATGAGACATACTGGTGAATGAACATGGAAACATTAAGACTGATCTATGCAATAGGGTTGTTGTTGTTGTTTTGCAAAAGCATCTCCATATGAGATAACTGTTTGTTTATATAATTAATTTTATACTATCATAGAGCATATCAAGATGGGATACATGTCTAAAATGAATGAATGAAATTTTAAAAAATACAAATAACCATTGAAGGTGCTGGTTAGTCATAGTAAAAACCAAGCAGCTGCAAAGGCTTGTTGGCACAGAAATGTCTTAAGAGACTTGTTATTGGAGTAAATTATCTGATTAAAGTTAAGTCACTGTCATTTTTGAAGTTAATTTAAATCAGACAATATAGGGCATGCTACTACTATGGACCAGAAAAATATATATTCAAAATGAATGCAAGTTCAATCTCTATCTTTATCTGAAGTTAGATTTTGACTTCTGGACTCAAATGTTCTGTGGCACACTTTCCCACTGAAGTCTTCCCAATGATTATACTTCCTCACTGATAATTCCTTAGTACAAACAATACTTTTCTAAGTGTAAATCTTGACTACACTGAATGCTTATAAAAGGTGGGTGTTTCCAGAAGCTGTGCTGCTTAACAAATATTAACTTCCACAGCATCAACCTGCTTTATTGGTTTTGGAGGTACCATTTCCCCAGGTTTTCTAAACATTACTCAAGCAGGTCATTTCAGCAATATTTGTGTATTTTTTAAAAATAAAAAGGCATTAAATCTTTTTGTAGCATACCTGTACATCTGATCCCTGTCTTGGGCACCTCGCCACCCTCCTCCTCCTCCGCCACCACCTCCTCCGCCACCACCTCCTCCTCTGCAAAGACAAAAGCAGAACCATTTTTTGCACTTTTATTTACTGAATTTCACAAATGATATATGGGATTATTGGTCAAGTGACGTCTTACATGAAATACTTAAATGCAGCAAACATGTCAAAAAGATTCAAATGTCACATCAGTACTCCACATCAGTATTACAGCTGCAGTAAATTTTCAACCTTGAAAATTGTTCCAGTCAGTCATTTCCTGGTACTGGAGTACAAGTATGATGGAGAAATGTATTCACCAGTGCTTTTAAACCCATATCTGGATATGGATGCCAACAGGATTTTGAAAGCAACAAGGACCGAAATAGACTGACATCGTTGGAAGTCACAATTACAGATCAGAATAAAACTTCATACTTTAAAGCAGGGATGGGAAACATGTGACCCTCCAGATGTTGCTGGAATCTGATCGCCATTGTCCTTGACCATGGCTATGATGGCTGGGGCTGACAGGAGTTGGGATCCATCATCACTGGAAGGGGGCAGCTTTCCCATCCCTGTTCTAAAGGATTCATGCAATCTCATAAAGTAATAATTGGCAAAAAGTAGACTTACCTGTATGATCTGCTATAATAGTCACGGTCATCATAGCCTCCTCTCTCAAAACCTCTGTCATAGTAATCTCTCCGTCGGGAACTTCCACTGTAAGGAAACACACCATATATAGGTATACAACACAGGAAGTAAATACTGGGTGAAGCATCTAAGTAAATAGCATAATCTAGTAGGAAAGCAAAGGAGAGTGCATGCAAAGCATTTTTCACTGGTGTGACAAATGCCACCTGATCCCCTTCATCCATCTATTTCCAGATGCTCTATATGAGACAGGGGGAGAAGAGACCCTGCTTTGACAGGAATCCACGCTGGCTGCACCATAGCCCTTTTAGACACCACACCACCCAAGTGCCCACCAAGAGCCATGTGTTTTGGTTCTAGGATTTTTTTGGCTGGTTGGGCATCTTGCTTTTTTAACCGTGGCTTATTTCCACTTGTGGTAGGGTGTAGGTGTTTTGCTTTGGGGGGTTTCTAAGCATCACCAGTTTTTCTTCGGTGAAATGGGTATTTTATGATGCCCACGACAGTCCAAATGTGCCAGTGGCCCAAGAAGACTGGGGACCCCTGCTTAGATTATAAGTCTCAGGGCAGGGACTATTGTTTTTAAACTTTTGTGAATAACCTTGCAAGTGTTAAGAGACAACAACAAACTAACATGCCTTCCAAATTTCTGGAAGTTATACAACTAGTCTAAATCCCACTCTTTAGTGAAGAAATCAGATTCATATTTTAACTGAACAGATTTTAAATTCCCACATGCTAATATATAACACAAATAAAGTACAGGTGATACTCTAATATTAGTTTGAAATCCTGGTTTTCAGTATTAAAAATAAAGTTAACTCTGGTAATTTCTAGATTAAATATAGTTATAACAACTTACTAAGTAGGTCTCCCCATATAAATTCCAGGAGTAGGCGTGTGAGGCCTTTTTGTTATTGAGAAATCAACTCTGATCCGTCTTCCGTCAAGTTCCATTCCATTAGCACGTTCTTTTGCCTATAGGAGTTGAATTTTTTTAAATTGTAGAATAAAGCTGTTCTGAATTCAATTTAATTCACATCAAAAACAAGTTAGGAACAAACTTACTTGCATGGCTGGAAAGGTATTTTACCAGGTACCCTTCTTTATTTACTGCACTAGGAAAAACTAGTCATGTTCATATCTATTTTGATACTATTCTAAATACATACCACACTGCACTGCGGTTTTAGCTATGTCCAGAGTTGGTTACATAAAATAGATGCACTGTTCACAGAAGCAGGGCCCTTGTTGTTTCCCAGTCACTGCTCACATACATTTTAAAAGAGATGAGCAGCAAATGGGACATACATGCACTCTGGGCATATCTTGGATGTCAGTACGCATGGATAGTATGCCTACTTACATGCATGCCACGCAAATATAATGAGTGAAATTTCTGTTTACTGTTTCAGATAATCTGGAAGAGGACAAATCACAACCTAAACAGCAGGTCTCAGACTCCATCTACATGAACTTTTGAAATGCCCATGATTTGGGTACAATGGTTTTCCACCTTTGCTCATGCAAGAAATGTAAACTGGTAAGGCTGAGGTTCCACCAAGCAGCCCATGGAGCAGAACTATGTGGAATGCAGAATACTGCATCTGGAAATCTCAACTCTTTTCTTACCAAAACTGCATTAGTAAGAACACTTATGCAGAAAACCCCCACCAAATCACAAACCAGCCTACTCTGATTTTCATGAGTATATTAAGTTTTTCTGGTCTATACAGGGGAAGGTCTGGTGAAGAGTAGTGACTGGGACTGTGAGCTGAAATGCCTCCTGTTCAAATCTTATTTGTGTCATATATACATATATACAACAATCAAGCAATGAGAATTGGCCTTCTTTATGGGGTTGCTTTAAGGATTACTACTAAGAATGAATGTTCATGAAGAGATCTGAACATCTGAAATGTGTTACATAAATCCTAAGGACAAAAATCTATATAACTGAAGGACACCCAAGAAGACAACCCAAGAACTGCATTCCAGCTGGCCTGTAGGAAGAGAATCCCTGATATATAGTGACCATTTCTAGGCAAGGTGCTATTTCACTTGGGTTTATCACAGCCCTGTTAATAACAGCAGCAGCAGTTTGAAAGGAACCACCAAGCAACTAGTTAATTTTTTGAACACCCTTCCTTGTGGAAGGGTTCTCTCAGCCTCCTCTCTTCTCCCCTCTACTTGGGAGTCCTCTGGGCAGCTGCTGCCCTTGGGTCTCTGAGCTGACCCCCCCCACCCCAAAGAGAGGTGGCTCCTCACACTGCCCCAGAGGGGCCTGGGAATCACCCCCTGGGGCACCATTCAGCTGGGAGCTTGTGGCCGGAGCTGCTGCAACAAACAGCTGTGCAAGCCTTTGGGAAGCAGAGATGCGAGAGGAAGGGAGGAAAGGCAAGAGGAACAGAGGCCAGTGCTGCCTGCAAAACCCCTGACCATCATTCAAGGCACCCCAGTGGTGCCACGCCACACTGGTTGAAAACCACTTGCTTAGCCTAACCAGGGTTGTAGCGATGATAAAATACAAAGGAAAACATGTATGCTGTCCTAAGCTGCTAGAAGGGAGGACAGGATACAAATAAAAATAAGACATAACGCAAAGAGGCTCATGGCTTGCATGACCATAAAAAAAATGAGCTATCAACTCAAAACTGTATAGTTACAGCAACTACCGTATTTTTCTCTCTATTACACGCAGATTTTTTCTCCTAAAAAGGAAGGGGAAATGTCTGTGCGTGTTATTGAGCGAATGTGGGGGGTCCCTGGAGCCGATTAGGGGAGCGCAGGAACAAAAATCAGCAAAAATCAAATCGTGCGTTGCGTTGGAGAGGGAAACCTGAAAAGGGGAAGTTGCTGCTTTCCTGCATTCTGCCTCAGGGTCTTACTGCCCACTCGCTTGTGTTTCATTGCTGTGTTTGCTCAAACGGAACAAAGAGCAGGCAAATCCCCTCCCCTCCAGGCAAGCAGAGGGGAAAGCAGAGGTCTTTCCTTCTAATTCCTCTCCGTGCTCCTCGCAGGCAGCCAGAAAACATGCAGGAGAGAGAGAGCTGGCTTCGGTTTGGGGAAACTTTTGCCTTTCTTTCCTCCCTTCCGTTAAATCCCTCTCCTGCATTCTTAGCCAGCTGCTTCTCTGCACACCCCTCTCATGTCCCTTCTTTGTTTTTCCTTCGCTCCCCACTTAAAATGTGGTTACAAAGCATAGATCCACATGGACCCTCAGGATCTTTGCATTGGGTCACCCCAAATTCACCAGATCACATAGCATGTCCATGGCTACAGCCTGCCCCCCCAAAATCACGCACCCACTGTTGCCTGGGGCTGCAATGGTGCAAAAACGTGGTTAAAAAGCATGGATCCACATGGATCCTCAGGATCTTTGGATTGGGCCACCCCAAATTCACCATCAGATCACATAGCAGCCTGCCCCCCCCAAATCACACACCCACTGTTGCCTGGGGCTGCAATGGTGCAAAAATGTGGTTAAAAAGCATGGATCCTCAGGATCTTTGCATTGAGCTACCCCAAATTCACCATCAGATCACATGTCTGTGGCCACAGCATGAAGCACAAAAATGATACATCCACTGTTTCATTCAGAATTTTTTTTCTTGTTTTCCTCCTCTAAAAATGATGTGCGTGTTATGGTCAGGTGCGTGTTATAGAGCGAAAAATACGGTAATTAGGATCCACCCTTGTTCAGGAAATGCATGGTTTGCAAAAGTAGGTACCTTAAATCACTTTCTTGATTCAAAACCTACTGACATTGGGAAATGTTAAAAACTTTATTAGCATGGGCTTTATTAGCATGAAATATTTTAGAGGAAAGACACTCACTTACCTCCTTAGCATCATCAACACTTTCAAAGTACACAAAGGCAAATCCTCTAGAACGTCGGGACTGCTGGTCATATACAATAGAAACATCAGCAATTGGGCCATATTTGGAGAATACCTCTCTCAGGTCCCTTTCTGTTGTGTACAAGCTTAATCCAAACACACCAAGACAACAGTTTGGGTCGGGATTTGCCTGTTTTTTTAAAAAAAGAAGGAATTTTCATAAGAATTCAAGATGTCCCCCAAAATTGTTTAAATGCTTTGGGATACAATATAAAAATGTTATTCCAGTAAATTCAAAGAGCTCTAACAGGCCTAAGGGCTACCCTGCTGGGTAGGATTCCAGTGTCCTTCATTTTCTTTTCTCATGAGAGAAGAAGGTAGAAAAAAGGAAATCAAAATGTTGTCACGTTCCAGGCAGTCTTATACAGTGGTACCTTGGTTTTTGAACGCCTCTGTAGTCGAACGTTTCAGAACTCGAACACTGAAAATCCGGAAGTAAATGCCTCAGTTTTCAAACATGCTGTAACAGGAAACGCAGCTTCTGTTTTGAGTTTTCTGTATTGAGGCTTCCACTTTTCAAATGTTTCGGAACGTGAACCGTCTTCTGGAATGGATTATGTTTGAAAACCAAGGTACCACTGTACTTCATATCTGGCTGATGCACTCAAAGTCTCATTCATATACAGGTTCACTTAGAGAGCATAAACAAAAACAGGGGGAGGGGGGAACAAGCTATGAATTCTCATGTATGACAACCCTTTAGCCTCTGTACAGTGTCTTCCATGGCTTTCTGGTTTTGGTCAAGGAGCATTTCTGGGTTTAATATCTCATTTCCCTAAAATAATGTAAATCTCTCATTACATGTAGCCGTGTTGGTCTGCCATAGTCGAAACCAAATAAAAAAATTCCTTCCAGTAGCACCTTAGAAACCAACTAAGTTTGTTATTGGTATGAGCTTTCGTGTGCATGCACACTTCTTCAGATACACTGAAACAGAAGTCACCTTATATATAGTGAGAGGGTGGGGAGGGGTATTACTCAGAAGGGTGGTGGGAATGGGTGATTGGCTGATAGGTGTGCTAAACCTGTTGAGGACTGTTAACAACTGCAATTGATCTTACTGGAAAAAGCAAGGGGTGAGACTGGAAAGAGAAGTTGCTGAATTGCAACTTATTACCAAACTTAAAACCATGGAGAGACCTGGTCTGAATAGAGACATTGGATTCTTATCTCATTATACATGATAAAGCTATTTTTAGCCATCTCACCCATTGCTTTTTCCTGTAAGACCAATTGCAGTCGTTAACAGTTTTTCTAGAACATGTAATCCATTTAGTAAAAGTTGCTATGAGAAGAATCCAATTAACATCTTCTAATTGCACTCTGGGACTTCTAAGACCATCCTCCCCAATGCAAGCTTTTGTGTCCCCTGAGGAGCTGCTGGAGAATGTCAGGGGACTGAAGTTTACCCTAATGTGTAAATTTCAAGAGCTCTCTCAAAGGAAGCACTTTCTGCTACCTCTAAAGAAAGCCCTGCAAAATGCAATACAACACATTGGAACTGATTCTGTAACCATTATTTTACCTGCACTGAATTATAAATACCAACCCAGCCATTAAGTCATAACTAACTAATCTAGACAAAATACACCATTCTTAGGGGGAAGTACCAATTTCTGCACAATGAAACAAAATAAATTAGAATAAAGCTTAGCTTAAAGGTTTCTCAAGCAGTAGAATAATAATCTTAAATATACAAGTTCACGTTTAACCATGCACAAATATTAATACAAATGCAGTCTATACCCACAGTAAAATCCACCAAACATTTTAAATACCATTTGTGAGACATATTATAAATCAACTTAAAACTTTTACATGATTTCTGGGTAATTTGAAAACTTTAGAACCTCCAAAGACACACACAGCTGAATTATCTCTGGTCAACTGCTGCCATCCCAGCCTTACTCTGTTGCCAACATGACGACGCCGAGTAGACATAGGAGAATGGCTGTGACTGTGTCGGCGACGATAGTCGCGGCTGTAAGATCTGCTTCTTGACCTCCTATGGGATCGAGAACGTGAACGTGACCTCGTATAATGTCTGCGAGAACTCCTCCTTGATCTGGATCTGTAAATATGAAAACTAAGATTATGCTGAACTACAGATGTCAAAGATGAAACTTGCATAGCATACAGAAGTTTCTAAGTCTACTGTATTTTTAGTCTTAATAACTGCCAGTCTGGGGTACAACTAATCAATGCGGCCTGCACTAAACATCGGACAGTCAATGGTAAGAAGGGATTTTAATAATCAGAACACTAAAACCCAAACCCTGTCCTTTGTTGTGACCATCAAGTTTCTGATGAAGGTGAGCTGTGGAACAGGGCCTGTGCTGAAGACCTTAATGCACAGGCAGTGAAGTTTAGAGTAAAAATGCAGAGCTATAGACGACTATCAGATTATTTAAATCAAAATGTTGGTATGTACATTGAGTCTCAGCCTGTTTGATTTCAGCCATGCAGTGATTGTGCCAAACCCTGCTTTCATTATATACAGATTCTCAGTAGCCAAACCAAAATTTCCCAAGAGAATATCTATCTGAGAAAATTCCATTAGAATAGATATACAAAGCTTAACTGGAAGTTTGCAAGCAAATAGAAACAGGTTTCCAAAAGTGCTTCATCTGGGAGTCAGAAATACTTTTTGAAATACTGGTTATTCAACTAATGCCAGGGAAAGATTCCACATGAAGAAGTATCAATACAAGAATATGACACTTAGTAGATACCCAATGTAGTCTTAAATAGCAGGGTAAAAGAATGGCTAATAGGCTCGGCCAATGCCATGCCCCTACAATACAGCCATATGCTTGCTGAGACTATTCCTGAAAGAGGCCGCTTTCCGCAGAAAGCTTTACAACAACTCCTTGCTGCAATTGCATCTTCAGGCTAGACAAGGCTACAACCTAATAATCTAGTCTATAATTGCACGACACACAAAATCCACATCAACTTACAGTCGTCTCCAAAACTTCTTTTCTTATCGATAAAAAACAGCATGGTTTTTAGACACACCAACCTCTTCCTCCAGACAGGCTTACCGAGATTCAGATCTTGATCTAGACTTTGACCTAGATCGCCTTGAACCTTCCTTGGACCTAGATCTAGCAGGTGAGTGTCTTGGAGACTTGCCGGAACCGTGAGCGCTTCCGCTTCTGGAAGCGGAACGGGACTCCTGCGTGTAGAAAAAAATATAGTTTAGTTTAATGTGAATGCTACTTCTCCAGTACTTTATTCTAAACAAGCTCTGGTAAAAGGTATGAAAAACATTAATGATCTGTGTCTCCATTATGTGTCCGGGCAGTTGCCATTAGAACTGCCTAGATTTATGGGTATTTTGCACCTGTTAAGCACTTATTTTTTTAAAACCTGCATGTTTTTTTCTATTAAACAAATAATGCATGCATGTTTAGCAAAATATACAGGGACACATAAACAGACTAGTAATTACTTAGCGTAGTGCTTTCAGATTCCAGATTACTTCTTATCTTAACTTCATTTTTATTTCTTTTCTTCATTCTTCCGTTTCAAATTCTGACTTCTTTCATCTTCCCCACTTCACACAAATTGCTCAATATTCTATAAGTGGGACTTCTGGTCTGATAATTAGCATGCATTCACTTTCTTTTTTTTCAAATTTCAGCTTCACTTATTCCTGAGCTTCAAATAATTCTCATTTATAAAACTTGTCAAATGGCGACTTCCGCATTTTCCTTCTTCAACATTAACCTTAATAAAAAAAGAACAGGATGAAGAATATTTAAAACTCCAGGATAGATATCTAGTGCCAAGACTGAAACTAGAAAAAATGCTATGTGTTTGCACTATTTTAACTAGATATGCAGTTCTAGTATGACTTTCTTTTTCAAATGATGGCAATTCAATGGAAAATGATTGACCAGCTATGAATTTGCTAGTTATTCCTACTTCAAAATTAACGTGTAACCACTGAAATGATCTTAGACTGCAACACCAAAACTCCATGAACTCCATGTGCCATTCCTCACATAAACATTAAGAAATTAGTAGTATGTCCCAAACTCAATTTACATACCTCTGCTCAAGTTTGGTGTTATTCTTTTAAAAAGCATATAGAACTATTGAAAAGCCATACCAACCAGGTTTCAAAAAAATAATTTAAGACACTTCATTCATTAACAAGCCTATATTTGCAACTTATAGTAAGTAGACTGTACCCTAACCTCTACAACAATGAAGAAATGGAGAGTTCTATCTTGTTAAAATGACAACTCTAGTTTATGCTAATGTTTTATTAACCTTTGAACTTTGCACAACTGAAAACACTTCTGCACTTACTAGAATGTTTCTGTGCTCACAGATTCTATTTCTTAAGGAATTCTGAGAGCTTCCATGTTAACAGTAGGGATGAACTGTCTTAGTAGTAAAAGGATACTATCCAATCAAGTAGTTCTATTAGCTGAATGACGTCTGGTTGCGAACTGAACTTCCCCTCCCTCTCCTTTCCCACCTCCAGATCTGTTCTGAGTCCCCACCTCCACCATATGAAGCAGATTTGGGAAGAGCGTAGGTTGGTGGTGGTGGTAGTAGAAAGAAGTTCAGTTGCACAAATTGAAATCCTTGGGCTAATGGAGCTACTTAATTGGATACCACTTAAATATTATTATTTTCTTTCTACATATGACAATGGCCCCCAAATCCTAAAACATATGGATTGATGATATAGTAGTAAGATTTTACTGACAAAACCACTGATGAACATACTAGATGCACATGTACCATCAAAGGAAGTCTAAGGAAAATTAAAACAATGCATTATCATAATATGCAACTAGATGGTGTATTTTAACAACCTCTAAATCAATTCTTAAAATAGCATAAACTATAAGAACACATTATGGACTTCCTCTGAAACGAAATGTGTTGGGATGGGGACAGACCACAACCTTGTCTTCAGGTAACTATTTTCATGACATAGGCTGGACACTTAAGCAAGTAATTTTGCTTAATGTTCTTCAATGTATATGGACACAAGAAAACAGAAATCCTCAAGTTTCACATTGCTGTCCTAAGGAAATCTACACTCTGTGCAATAGCTATTGGATTGTTTGAGTAGAGATTGTTACCATCATGCAGAATATGCAGTCTCAAAAATTTAATTAGTAGAAATGCTTGTTCAGAAAATATAAAAGCTGAATACTTGATTTGAAATCATATTGATTAAAGAAATCTATGCTCTTCTATTTAATGGGAAATCTATTCAGCTACAAATTGGCTACTCAAATAAAGAATCTGAGTTCACTACAGAAAGTATAAGGGGTTGATAAGCAACTAACATTCCCTAGATCTAGAAGTCAAGCATCATGACCTTTGGAGGTTTCTAGACATTATTATAGGAACAACCCCAAAGAAAATGAAAGATGATTTTAAATTAAGTGATTCCTACAACTCTAAACAGTATGATTTAAACAAAAAAGCAAAACATATAAAATGAAATATAATAATTTATTTGTATCCCACCCATCTGACTGGGTTGACACAGCACTCTGGGGGGCTTCCAACAGAATGTAAAAATCCAAACAACAAAATACTACCAGCCACTCATTATAACAACACTATTATCATTAATACAATTTCCTTTTAAAATACTATGCACATATTCTCCTGTTCAAATACCACTGAAAATTGTTAGGGAAGCACAGGAATGCCAAGATATGCTGTAGCAAGAAAATGGTTCCTAGATGCAGCATTTCTGCAAGATGGGAGCTATTTTCCCACTGCATAGATTTGTATTTTGCAAGAATGGATGTGGAATGCCAACTTGCTCTATTCCCTACATTGCTCTGATGATTTAAGTGAGCCCACAGAACTACCCTTTCTGATTGGAAAAGTTAACGGGCAAATCCCTCAATTTCTTTTCTTTTCTAGTCCTCTTGCCTGGAGAACATAGGGTGAACTAGTTTTATGGCAGAATGGCACATAAGGCATATTCTGGAAAACATCAACTTACATGTCAAAGCACACACTACTTAGTTGACATTCAGTTTATGCATAAATATTTCTTATGTCAGCAATCGTCTTATTAAATTGCAAGCTCTTCCTTATCCTTCATCAGGTAATGGCTCAATCACCCAATTCTTAGCCAAACCTTTCTTCCTGTAATTCTTGAAAGGTGAACTGAAACTATGATTCCTCCACAACACCCCCCCCATTCATACAGATCAAGGCATCAACTTCAAAGCATTAATCACTCAGGCAGATGTGCAACTTCTTGCACAACATTCCTTCTGTGCCAACTCAAGTTACTCAATCTTGTGTATTTACAAATCCAATCCAGTGGCTAAATCATTTACTGTATCTTCACCATATGAACAACTCCTATACAGTCATACCTTGGTTGTCAAACACCTTGGTACTCGTCCGTTTTGGCTCCTGAACACAGCAAACCTGGAAGTGAGTATTCTGGTTTGCAAACATTCTTTGGAAGCCAAACGTCCGACATGGCTTCCAATTGAGTGCAGGAAGCTCCTGCAGCAATCAGAAGCTGCGCCATGGTTTTTGGAAGTCGAACGGATTCCGTTCAACAACCAAGGTACAACTGTACTTCCATTCTTACTTCCCATGTTCCTGCTGCCACTTACACACTCCCTTCCCACAGTAATCTCTAGCCTGAGGTGATGGTAATTGAATTACCAGCAGTTTGGTAAAAGCGCAGTTCTTCCTTTTCTGCTACTCCAAGGAGTAGAAACTGCCACACAGTGAAGTCTTGGTCATGATCAGGGATAGGCAACCTAAGGCCCGTGGGCTGGATGCAGCCCAATCGCCTTCTCAATCCGGCCCACGGACGGTCCGGGAATCAGCGTGTTTTTACAGGAGTAGAATGTGTGCTTTTATTTAAAATGCATCTCTGGGTTCTTTGTGGGACATAGGAATTCGTTCATTTCCCACCCCAAAATATAGTCCGGCCCACCACATGGTCTGAGGGATGGTGGACTTGCCTACAGCTGGTAAAGGCTGCTGACCCCTGGTCATGATGGTTCCTAGGCCTTTAACTAGAAATGCAGCATGTGAAGTTGTTTGCCTCTGCTATAGACTCGGTTTTAACAATGTATTCAGATCTAGAACCATTCAAATTTCCAGGAAAGTAACAACATTTTAACAATGAGTGTGATATTGCTACCATGTGGCCCAAATTGAAATATCACCACTCAAGCAGCAGCAACATTTGACTTGTTTCAAGCTAAATGTTCTTTAGAATGTGCCTCTTCTGTGAAGCTCATTCTCTTTCTGATGTAATCATACCCACAATACTCTGAATGTAATCTTTACTTTCCAAGTTCCCCAGTCACTGTATTTATTTTGAATAAAAAGCAAAAATCTATTTGCACTCATTTTTGCCCTATGTTTCAATCAATCAGTCTAACCAAGGAAAATAATGGTCTGCACATCTGCTCTGGTGACCATACTGATCAAGTGGGACACCCTTACTTTCTCCCTCCCAGAATGGCCAAATGTTCTTTAAGATTATAATCATGGTTTGTTTTTGTTTTTTACATCAGAGCTTGCTCGGGTTGATGCAAATGCACAGTGCCACGCTAAAAGAAAAGCTTGCACATTTGAAATATTTACTTGTGCCAATGTTCAACAGAGAAGGCTGGCACACTAATTTACAGTTGACCAACAATCATGTGGTATTTGATACTACAGGGCTGAATGGCAGCTATGATGAATTAACCAAGTGACAATTCACAGCCTTGTCCCACCCAACACCTGCATTATCATTCAAGTCTCTCAAAACCAAAACAACATAGATACAAAGCCAACTAGACTTTACATTCAGTATTAGATGGGGTCCAATCTAAACTGAACTGTAGTTTAAGGAAAATTTATCAGCAGGAAAAAGATGTGCATGCTACTGCAAGCCAGTTCCAGTGCCTATAGCCAAGTGATCAATGTAATTTGTAATGTTTGCCACATGCACACACTAATAGTTTTTGTTGTTGATGTATCCCTAAAAATGTAACATGGAAACAGTACCACTCCTTGAGCAATACTTTCTTTTCTTGCTGACCTCACCATCTCCGTCTCAACATGGGAGGTAACCACTTTGTTAGAGGGAATTTATAGCTCACACAAGCATAAGTGCATCAGAAATGGGAAGCAAACAAACTAGAAAGGTTTCCTCTCCTTAAGTCATTCCTTCCTAGCTCTGTTGTTTTTGTGCATACATGAACATGAATCTCTATGATCATAGAATCTCTTTATGATCAGAGTTAACAAATTATCATAACTTTACCTTCAGCAATTTACCAGCTGACTAGCTCCCATCTGAAAGAGTCTCAATCAATTCATGCAATGCCCAATAACACGAATAAATTGCACACTCCTTTACAGTTAGCAGCTGTTTGTGCAAGATTAATATGGCAAAAGAGACTATACATTTGAACTGGAAGTATACTTGGCCATTTTACTTCTTTCATAGCATTTGTGGGTTCACTTCTTCCCCCCTCCATCACTTGCTCATTCCCTCTAAGCAAAAAAGTGACTTTTTACAATGCAGCTTTCAACTGAAGCCAACTCACAAAACAATCCAATCCACCAAGCCTGAGGAGGTGTGGATGGAGCAGTGGTATCCCTTTAGCCAGTACTGCCTGTGGGAGAACATCACAGCAAGGGATGTCCTACTGCATCTGCCCAAAGGTGGTAATCAGAACAATCCTCAAAGATAATCAGCACAAGGTAATCCTCCTTCCTCAAAAAAAGTTGGGTGTTTTGGAGCCAAGCATCACATAATTCACTGGATGATGGGATTGCAACAGACCTGACTTGCACCCATTTGCTGTGATACTGGAAGCTGGCATAACAAAGAGGCAACCCCACCTCCTTTCTGCTTGAATGGTGAAGCTGTGGCTCCCACCACGGAAGCCAGGGGTCTAAAATGCCTCCTTGGCCTACAGTCAAGAGAACCTGTAAAGTTGGTCTGTATAAGCTACAGACATCACTATATCATACATTATCACTTGATGCACACACTCAAAAGTATTTTCTTGCATAAGCTTTTATGCCTCTGCATGAAATTCAGCAATATCATTCCAGGACTGGGGTCTTTATTACTGCTTATAACACACATAACCTAAAGAGCACAGTGCAACTTGAAATGCAGATTCCAGCACTTTGACCAATTAGCTCAATGAAACCTAATGCTCCACTTATTCTAAAGTTCCCGTTCAAAAAAGTACCTTCCATTAAGCATTTAGGGTACCCAAGTTAGCCTGTTGAATTAGAAAAGTTCTTTTGCACTTTATTATGGCATAAGGTTTTGTGGACTTCATGAAAGCAAAAACCGCAAAAAAATGTTTTCATTCTTTAAGATACCCTAAGGTTTTGGCCTGTTTATTTTAAATAAAGTACACTGGAAGCTATTCGATAGCCAGAAATTTGTTCCACGTGAAATGCTGAGTGCGACCGTTAAGCTCAACGTAGAAGCGTCAAGGGAACGATCCCTTTGCCATCCAGGCCAATCGAGACTGGTGCAGCTATCCTCTCCGCACGCCCGGGTGCAGAGTCCCAAGCACGTTAGCAAGGCTGCGGAAAGGGCCGGACTCTTTCCCGCGTTAGCCTCTTTCTGGGTTGAAGCATCGCCGGGGCCAGAGCCCTGCCATTTTCTCCCCCTCTCTAGAGGGAGCCGCAGCCGAGGCGACGAAGGCGCTTTTCGCATCCCCGCTCCTCTTAAGTCCTGCGCGGCCATTTTGTCCCCGCGGCGGCGCGCTCATTCGGGTCACCAGCCCCAAGATGGCGCCGGGAGCGGGGCTCGCCGCGGAGCGCTACGTCAGAGCGCAACCGCTTCGCAGGAAACGGCGGGCCATTTTCTCGCGCCAAACCGACACGCAGCGCGATAAAGTGGCGGGGGGGGGCGGAAGGGAGAGAAGCAGCGGGTGCCGCTAAGCCGCTTCCCGCCTCCTCATTCCCCGCCCCGCGTGTCCCTTCATCCCAAAGGCAGTTTTTTTCGCGCCCGGCCCGGAGGAGACGGGGAGTGGGGGGGAGGAGGGGGAGGAACGAACTAAAAACAAGGCCCGGCTCCGTCTCTCCACCAAGCGGGCCGCCTATGCTGCGCTCCCAGGCTCTGCGTATTACCCGCTCGCCGTAGTTCTGCTCCCCGCTGTCGCTCATCCTCCCGCCTCGCAGCGCTGGACGCCGACCGCGGTTGCTACAGCCAAACCGTCCGTTCGCGAGCCTTCTCCGCAGAGGAAGTGACGACGTCACAGAAGCCCCGCCTCCGCGCGAGAGCGAGCGCCCGCCGTCTCGCTCGGAGCTTCCGGCGCTAGGAGGAGGGCGGGGGAGAAGCGATCCTGCCCCGCGATAGTTGGTGGCGCTCGGCGTAAGTGATCGCCCTGCCGAGTAGCTGTGACCAGTTCAGCACCCGCGCGCGTGTCGTCTGTGTGCTCGCGCGGAGGGGTTGGGGGTCGTCTCCCGTGTTTTGCTTTGCAGTCACCGTTGTTTTGAGTTTCAATACCATTTTATAAACTCGTGGCCTTGGTCTTTGCTATTGTGAACACTCTTGTTCGCCACCCCAGTCTTGAGAGTTGCGGGATTCCAGGGGTTCGGTTTCCTTGTCTTATAAGAATTTCAAGGTCTCAAATATAGAATAAATACTCATAAATGCACACACATCTAAATATATGAGCCATGTGTCTGAAATAGTATGGGAGAGCAATCCTGAAACCATTTTGACTCTCCCAATGATCTCAAATATTCCTCTGCAGTAAGGGAGGCAAATGGAGAAAGCCTTCCCATTGTCTTTTTGCTTGCAAATCCTGTCTTAAGGGCGTATTTGTGTATGAATAGGGTGAGCCTGTGACCTGGATTCAGATCCTAATAATATTAAACATCACAAAAGAATGGCCAGACTACCCAGGTAATGCAACCAGTGACCATTATTAGGTATCCTGGCAGGCAGGATTTTTGCTGTGGATCACCTCCTGTGATGTACGTATGATGTTTTTGGGGGCGGTCTTGGACTACAGAGTAAGCAACAGTTCCTTTAATAAAGATTAGGCTTATTAGCCGCTTTGCTTCTAAATATACTATGGTTGGCCTCTGTTGTTTTCTCCTACCGATAGGTAACCCACTTAAGGACTCTATACGGAAAAACCCATAAGGGAAAGGGAGCAGTTTTTCTTAAAACACTTGGAATGAGGGATAGAGGAGAGAGTGGTACCTTTAGGATATACGATTTACTTACATACAGTGCTTTTTTCAGGGGATGATGACAACGCAGGGGTATGCATACCCCTAAACATTTTGTGAATCTTTGTACTTTTGTCTCCACCCCCATCGTTCTACCCGGACACTGAGGTCCAGCACCAAGGGCCTTCTGGCGGTTCCCTCACTGCGAGAAGCCAAGTTACAGGGAACAAGGCAGAGGGCCTTCTCGGTAGTGGCGCCTTCCCTGTGGAACACCCTCCCACCAGATGTCAAAGAGAACAACAACTACCAGGCTTTTAGAAGACATCTGAAGCTTTTAATGTTTGATGTATTATAGTATTTTAATATTCCTTTGGAAGCCGCCCAGAGTGGCTAGGGAAGCCCAGCCAGATGGGCGGGGTATAAATAATAATAATAATAATAATAATAATAATAATAATAATAATATATGTCTATTTACTGTATTTATTTTTCCTGATTTGAACTATAAAATGATGATTTTCTTGAGTCAAAATGAGAGTACCCCTAAACATTTTTAAAGAAAAAAAGCACTGCTTACAGATATACAGTGTGTAAATCTCCCTGGATTTATGGGGTGCTATTCCCTGGCCATACATCTTTTGAGTCATAAAGAAGCAGTTGAACTGCTGAGGGCTGGAGAGGTTATGATGATTCCTCCTCAACTGCTGCCACTGGCTGTGGACTGCTTGTGATGTCACAAAAGCACATGGGAGCTGAGTAGCTATATAAAGGTGGACCAACACACACACACATACATATATACATACACACAACCTGAGCCTATGATGGAGGGCTCTCAGCATCAACATTTCAAGGAGGTCTTGCTTCTACCATAGTCACAGCCTTGGAATCCAAAGAAATCAAGCATGGGTCTTACTCTCTGGCTTCTGCCTGCTTCTAGCCCAGGTGACAGGCACACAGCTCTGGTCTTTGTCTTTCTCACTACCAGTCAGGTGAGGGAGGGCCCCCCTACTCGCTTGTCCTCTGACACAAAGCCACTTCCTTTGTTACACTAAGGACACTACTTAGGACCATAAACTCACAGCAATACAGTACTTTGGTATCCTGGATAACACCTGTCAGAAACCAAGATCCAACCTTCAAACAAATCATGTTGAACTGGGTTATAAAAAGTAACTGAATGGCAAAAATAGGACATTTATTTATTCATTAATCCATCTTTCATCAATAGAACTTGGGGCTCTGAAGGTTCCCATATAGGCACTGAGGAGACTCGCATGTGCTTCGCTTCATTAAGGTTGTTGCATAATGTGCAGTCAGCCCATATTTCCAAAGATAGAATAATATACACATCAGCATTGTATGGCACAATCTCCCTTAACCTAGTGCCCTCTAGAAATTTTGGACAACTCCCATCAGCTTATCCATCTAAGGCAGGTAGGCAGTCTTTTTTCAGCTGCAGTCCCATTTTACTCTTTCTACCACACTATCCCCGCCCCTTTTCTCTCTCCCACTCTGCCCAGCAAGTTACTGGAGAGGGGACAGATTGTCCTTGAAAGAGGTCTGAACTTGCAGATGATTTTTTAAATTAGGCTGAGGCTTACAGGCTGTACAGACCTGATCTAAGAGATGGCATACAGAGGCCTTAAGAACATCTTGTCCCCTCCTTGAGTGCTTTTGCCTGGTTGGGATGTTCCCTTAAATGCCATTGTGCCTTTTGCGTAACTGGATAGAGTAGGTGGTGGTGTAGAAATTTCTGGAATGGAGCCCACTGTACAAAGTAAGAGTCGCATTCATCACTCTGTTCCCCTTTTTAACTCCCCACTCCCTGGCATGTGTTACCTGGGATGCTGACACAAAGGGCTGTAGCCATTGAAAAATACCTTACCCCCTGGATTTATGGGGTGCTATTCCCTGGCCATACATCTTTTGAGTCATAAAGAAGCAGTTGAACTGCTGAGGGCTGGAGAGGTTATGATGATTCCTCCTCCATTGCTGCCACTGGCTGTGGACTGCTTGTGATGTCACAAAAGCACATGGGAGCTGAGTAGCTATATAAAGGTGGACCAACAGAAAAGCCAAGGCAAAAGCTCCCCACCCCGCAAGATAACATAGTGGGCAACAGCTGTGGCATTCAGCACTGGACAGTCTACTTCCAGTTGGAGACAAACTGGCAAATGGATGGTGGCGATCATCCAGCTGTGGAGCAATGAGAAGGCAAGTTTGCTTGCTGAGTGGGATTGCAGTTTAAAGGCAGCTGATACCCACAGTTGGAAGTTTGCTGATGTCTGGCAGTGGACCTGGTAGAAGCTGGTAGATGTTGGTGAGTAGACACCGGTGAAGTTTGCATTTGAAAGCCAGTGGATGCCGCAAGGCTGAAGCAGGCTGATGTTTGTGTGTGTAAGCTGGCTGAAATTCACCTTTGGAAGCTTGTTGACAGCAGCTGTGTGGATATTTGTGGATTGAAGCTGGGTGTGTATGTGAATGACTGGTGAGTAAATGTGTGTGTGAATGGGAGGTTCTGAATGTGGTCAAGGTAAATGGTGCTTTTTAGGAGTGGCGTAGGTTGTCCTCCATATAAGACCTTATTGGGAATTATGCATTTCATGGGGCGGGAGGTTGTCCTCCGGGTGCACAGTGAATGGATGAACCAGTGGAAGCTGATATCAGGGATGAAGTTGCCAGGCAGAAGCCAGTGGAGGTACCTGGGTGATGCTGTCAGATGGCAACTATCCTCACAGTTCCTGTGTTTGCCATTTAGGGATGTCAAAAGCCTGTGCAGTTTTCCCTACCTGTGAGAGTAATGAAGAGAATGGCAAGGCTGAAACAAGCCACCTTCTATTTCTAAATAAATGTCTTTCTAAATACATTTAAGTAAGTAGTGTTCATCTCCAATATGGATAATGGGAGGCTGTGCAGATGCTTCCACAGCTGCTGCCGTTGGCTACCGACTCCTGGTGATGTCACAGGTTAAGTATAATTCTTCATACTGAAATGGAGAATGCTTATGTGTATTACTGAAGGCTTTAACATGGGGTTTTTCCATGGGGCTATATTGAAGTAAGGGACGCGGGTGGCGCTGTGAGTAAAAGCCTCAGCGCCTAGGGCTTGCCGATCGAAAGGTCAGCAGTTCGAATCCCTGCGGCGGGGTGCGCTCCCACTGCTCGGTCCCAGCGCCTGCCAACCTAGCAGTTCGAAAGCACCCTCGGGTGCAAGTAGATAAATAGGGACCGCTTACTAGCGGGAAGGTAAACAGCGTTTCCGTGTGCTGCGCTGGCTCGCCAGATGCAGCTTTGTCACGCTGGCCACGTGACCCGGAAGTGTCTCCGGACAGCGCTGGCCCATGGCCTCTTGAGTGAGATGGGCGCACAACCCCAGAACAAAAAAAAAAAAAAATCCTTCCAGTAGCACCTTAAAGACCCTAAAGACTTAGTTAGTTCTTGGTATGAGCTTTCGTGTGCATGCACACTTCTTCAGATACACTGAAACAAAAGTTGCCAGATCCTTCTATATAGTGAGAAGGTGGGGAGGGGTATTACTCAGAAGGGTGGTGGGCACTTTTCACCTTCTCACCCCTTGCTTTTTCCTGTAAGACCTATTGCAGTCGTTAAGAGTCGTCAACAGGCTCATCACAGCTATCTGCCAATCACCCATTCCCACCACCCTTCTGAGTAATACCCCTCCCCACCTTCTCACTATATAGAAGGATCTGGCAACTTCTGTTTCAGTGTATCTGAAGAAGTGTGCATGCACACGAAAGCTCATACCAAGAACTAACTTAGTTGGTCTTTAAGGTGCTACTGGAAGGATTTTTTTTTTGTTTTGACTATGGCAGACCAACACGGCTACCTATCTGTAACTGGCACAACCCCAGAGTCTGTCAAGACTGGCCCGTACGGGCAGGGGTACCTTTACCTTTATATTGAAGTAAAAGAATAGTACTCCAAGTTCCTAAGTGTTGTTTTCTAGTAGCTAACACCTGGGGAATTTGCAATTCAATAGCCTTCCATCTTGGAAGGGTGGTGGCTGAGTCTTTTTTTCTCAGGCTCTGTGGGAGTAAGGATGTAAATGAAGCT